GGCTTGGGACTTGTTCCTGGGTTCACAAGGAGTCGAACCATGGTGGTGGTCGATGATGGTGACTTCAGAAACAGTGGATCGCCACAATGGGTGCCCTCGAACTCGTTAGAAAAGACGACATGAGTTCGTTGTGAAATCTCCACTAACCGCCGTCAAGCTTGTGTGGAATTTAAAGAGGGAAGGTCGTTGGGTCGAATAGTGGTGGTGGGAGATTCCAACTCACCAAAAAAAGGACGAAAATGGCGATGGAAGAAGCTACCAGAAACCAGGTCGAAACCGGCTCAAGGGGATCCGACCCTGGTTGGCTACTCTCCCTCTTCTCTCATTTCTGTCCTTGTTCTCTCCTCCCATTGGTCATCTCCTCACCTCCTACTTCTGGTTGGTCCATCCTCCTCTTTTCTCTCCCTGTTTTCCTTTCCTAATTGGGCAATTCCTTCCCCCATCTCCTTTTTCTTCCTCCTCTCATCCGTCTCTCCCTCCCTTCCTCTTCTCTCAACTAATTTTAAAATAGTAATATAATAACAAAATAAATGTTAAAATAATAATATAATAATTATGAGAAATGTATACAATAATAATTAGTAATTTTTACAAAAGTACTTTTCGGATTTGTAGTTCCATAAAACCTCCATCGTAACCCTGGCTAGTACTTCTAGAATACGTTAAAGTGATAGCCCATACACATCACGAATGATCGTCAACGAAAGTCAACGATCTCGCCTCTAGTGGTATTTTTGTAAATTCACTCTTTTGAAATTTATAAAATTGTAAAAGGGTAGTCACATAATTAATATATTAAAATCAGGAAGAAAAACAAGAAATCAAACATCAAAATATAATTAATAAATGAGGTAATTATATGTACAAGGGACTAAAATATACTTCAATCTTACACAAGTTTATAGTCTCGAAGGTAGTTCTTCAAGCATTATAATGACATTTTCTAATATTTAATATTGTGTGGTTATGTAAATTATAAGTAGAGATTATGAGTAATGCTAGATAGACCAAATTTTTTAAACCAAATTTGCAAACTAAATGATGTGGTTGTAGATGATTGGATTATTAATTAAGTGTCAAGTAACATACTTGTTTCTTATTGATGACATATCATATAACAAACATTCAAGATCTAGATAATCTTTCTTATTAGATTTTGTACTACTTAAAGATTAAGTTATTACCTCGCTACTATAATTGTGATTAGAGACATTAGACATGATGAGTATCATACACCCAAAATTCCTCAAACTTTTCTCTCATTCTATGCCGCACCTCCCTTCTTCTCTCTAAATTTTAGTCTACAGAAAGTGTTTTACTTTTTATTTTATTTTTAACACTTAGATTAAATAATTCAAACGAAAATCTAAGTGACGGTCATAATTAAATTACGTGAAGATTTGTGTGCATCGAAAATCTAAGTGAAATTGCTGTGCTGCATGCTCTTAGGACCTAAGGTATAAACTTCCCACGTGGATCCACACCCTTGAAATCTTGTCATCGTGATCTCAAGGAAGATTCAACGGACCATACTCTATTAGCAAAGCACGAAACGCACAACTTGCAACTAGGCCTGACAATTCCTGACATGACTTGATAACCCGACACGACATGACACGAAATTAACAAGTGTTCGGGTCGACACGATAACAAATCGGGTAACCCGATAAGCACCTATTAAGATAACGGGTTAGTTCGGGTATACACGTGGGTAACACGATACACGATAAGCAAAATATTAATTTTATAATTTTATAACCCTTAAAAAATACTATAATAATTATATATATATATATATATATTAATTTAACAATTTTATACCCCTAAAAACTATAATTATATATATATATATATTAAATTAAATATTACAAATTGGTGACCATTGGATTGGCTTAAATATACATACCATTCAAATTCTTAAGTGTTATACGTACAAAATAAATAAATTTAAATCTACTTAATAAATAAATAAATAAATAAATATATATATATATATATATATGCCATTGAACTCGATGGGATACAAATTCTACGAAACTAATTTCAACAATCCAACTGTCAAACTTGTTTGTATATGCTTCGAAATCGCATCAGCAAAAAATCACAAAAAATAAACATTCAGAGATCAAGTTACGGGACAAAACTTTTCGACGGTTATCAACGAAAAATCACGATTTTACAGTTATTTTAACTTTGATTTTGATGATTTTTTACAGCTACACTCCTTGACCCTATACGAATACAATGAATGAACTCGATCTTCAATTTAAAATATTTACACTAGTGGATACCACAAAATCTTATGTTATACTTCATGAAAGTATGAATAAACTTTTAAGTGTTAGTGAATCTATTGTTTTGATGGGATACGCATTCTATGAAACTAGTTTTAACGATCCAACCATTAAACTTTTTGTATATGCTTCGAAATCACATGCGCAAAAAATTGCAAAAAATAAATATTCAGAGTTCAAGTAACGGGATAAAACTTTTCAACGGTTATAAATGAAAAATCATGATTTAATGGTTATTTTAACTCCGATTTTGATGATTTTTTATAGCTACATTCCTTGACCCTATATGAATACAATGAATGAATTCAATCTTCAATTTAAAATATTTACACTAGTGGATACCACAAAATCTTATGTTATACTTAATGAAAGTATAAATAAACTCCAATTGTTAGTGAATCTATTGTTTTTATGGGATACGCATTCTACGAAACTAATTTCAACGATCCAACTATCAAACTTGTTTATATATGCTTCAAGATCGCATACACAAAAAATCGCAAAAAACAAACATTCAGATATCAAGTAACAGGACAAAACTTTTCGACGATTATCAACGAAAGATCACGATTTAACGATTATTTTAACTCCGATTTTGAAGATTTTTTACAGTTACAATCCTTGACTCTATACGAATACAATGAATGAACTCGATCTTCAATTTAAAATATTTACACTAGTGGTCTTGTGTTATACTTAATGAAAGTATGAATAAACTCTTAAGTGTTAGTGAATCTATTGTTTTGATGGGATATGCATTCTACGAAACTAATTTCAATAATCCAACTATCAAACTTATTTGTATATGCTTCGAGATCGCATACGCTAAAAATCACAAAATAAAAAACATTTAGAGATCAAGTAACAGGACAAAACTTTTCGACGGTTAGCATCGAAAAATCATGAATTAACAGTTATTTTAACTCCAATTTTGATAATTTTTTACAGCTACACTCCTTGATCCTATATGAATACAATGAATGAATTTGATCTTCAATTTAAAATATTTACACTAGGGAATGCCACAAAATCTTATGTTATACTTAATGAAAGTATGAATAAACTCTCAAGTCTTAGTGAATCTATTGTTTTGATGGGATAAGCATTCTACGAAACTAGTTTGAACGATCCAACTGTCAAACATGTTTGTGTATATACTTCGAGATTGCATATGCCAAAAATTGCAAAAAACAAACATTCAGAGATCAAATAATAGGACAAAACTTTTCAACGGTTATCAACAAAAAATCACGAATTAACGGTTATTTTAACTCCAATTTTGATAATTTTTTACAGCTACATTCCTTGATCATATATGAATACAATGAATGAATTTGATCTTCAATTTAAAATATTTACACTAACTTAATGAAAGTATAAATAAACTCCTAGTGTTAGTTATTCTATCGTTTTGATGGGATACGCATTCTACGAAATTAATTTCAACGATCCAACTGTCAAATTTGTTTGTATATGCTTTAAGATTGCATACGCCAAAAATCACAAAAAAAAAAAAATTCAGAGATTAAGTAACGAGGCAAATTTTTTCGACGGTTATCAACGAAAAATCACGATTTAACGGTTATTTTAACTTCGATTTTGATGATTTTTTATAGCTACACTCCTTGACCCTATATGAATACAATGAATAAATTCGATCTTCAGTTTAAAATATTTATACTAGTGGATACCACAAAATCTTATGTCATGATGATCGATGAAAATTGAGGATTTTTTAAAAGGAATAACATGCAAGGTTTAAACTTTTGAGAAAGGCTTCACAATCTTGAAAACAAAAACTCTTTCATTTTGCATATCCTTGCACGTTTAATATTTTGTAATAGACTAGTAGTGTATGAATGTTTGTTTATTAGGCTCTTATTTTCAAGTGTAGATGTAATACTTAAACGACAAATGTGTTTTAATGTTTTGAAGTAATATTTATGTGGCAATGTGTGGTATGTGCAAATTTAAGAAAAAAAATATATATTTTTCTTAACGGGTCATAACAGGTCGGGTTACTTTACCCGTTGGGTCACTGGTAAAGTGACCCAACCTATTAAGGACCTGTTAAGATAACAGGTGTAACACGACACGACCCGTTAAGATAACAGGTGTTACATGAAAACGACATGAACACAACAGACACGATCCGTTTGCCAGGCCTACTTGCAACTCAGTTTTTCAAGAGTTGCGGTTTGTGCACATGTCTAGTTTGGAATTTTAGCACATTTGTTTTCGAATAACAAATAATACTTTTTTAATTATTCATTTTTCAATACTTTTTATGTTTATGAGATAAAATTATTAAATATAAAGAAGGAGAGGATTAGAAAAGTTAAGCACTTGTTAGCATTGTTTTTAAAATGACTTAAAGTGTTTTTATAGAAAACTTTTGTGGTTATAAAAAACACTTGAAGCACTTTGCATTTATAAATATAAATAACGAGAGGTACTTCAAGTGTATTTTAAAGATTTATTTATATTTTATTAAGAAATGTTTAAAGATTTTTTTATATTTTTATTAAAAAATAATTTTTTTATCAAAAGTAATTTCAGTTATTTTAAAAATATATCCAAACTAACATGATATGAGAATGCATGGCCGAATCATTGCTTATATTTATGGGGTTTGGAATAGTTCCAAACTTTGAAAACAGTTATGAACAGATTCGAAAATCGTGGAAAATTTGTTGCCTATTTTTTTGTGATTATAGAATATCCACCTGTGAACTTTTTAAAATCTATTCACAAAAAGTTTAAACAATCAAGTGCGGACAATCTCTAGATTATGATAAATAATAATTTTAATTAAAGTTATCCTTTTTTATTTGAACTCTCAAAGTGTACGCTTTAAAGCATCATTTCTGTCAGTACATATATGATTTTGAAATTAGACATTATTTATATTTTTGGATAAGTTCAGTGACAAAATAGTTATACGAGAAAGTAGTACTAAATATAGAGTCGTTTGATTTTTGTGCTCCTTCTTCTTCTGAGCCTCTGACTAGTTTTTGATGCAGTTGGACTGAATGAATTGGTGAGTATTTTGCGTCCACGTTATTTATTCACTCTGTTGATTCCGTTCTTGCAGAAAAAAAAATATTCTAAGCTTTGAAGTTTTTGGGTTTTCACAAAGATTTTATAGTACAAATAATGTTTTTGTTGTTTTGATAAAGACTAATGTGTGTTTTGCTTATCGGTTCATCGAATAAATCAACTTTTTTTTTTTAAATCCCCTCTTAATTATCATGATAACTTCTAGTTTTGTTTTCGATTATTTTTAACTGGGTTTTTGAGTTGGAAAAGAATTCAACTTCTGAGACTTTTTATGTTTAAAAGTTGCACCATGTCATTTTACTGTCAAGAATATTGTTGGTTGGCGTAATGTAATTTTTTCCAAAAAGGGAAATGATTTTTGGTTCCAATAGATTCTGTGCTTGAAGACACACTATTTATGCTGTGCAAGTGCAATCTTTTCTGAAAGGTAAGTTGAATTTTTCCAAATATTCTCTTAGTTTATGGTTTTGGTTGTTCCCTGGGATTAAATATGGAAATTACAATATTTAAGCATGTTATTTTTATTTATATCATATTTATGCAGATTTGGAGAAATGTCCATTTCTAGCTCTGCTCTGTTCTCATAATCTTTACAGCTTTTCTATTGTTGTATTGGATTATATTTATTTTAATTTATTATATTTTCCTTTTATGGATGCAAAGAAAAAGGAGGAAAAATCTTCTGACAGAAGAGAAAGAAACCTCAAAATCTTTGGTTCACTGAATCTTTGACCTAGTGCTGTTAGATTTTTAGTATTTCTTCACAAATATTAGGGTTTAGATTCTGTATTTTAGTCGTATTTCTGTCCGTACGGCACTGGTAGATTGAGAGCATTTATTTTCTTTTATTCGCTCCATTGAAGGGTAATGTTCTATATATCACATGTTTTCTCTTGGTTTATGTTTTTATTTTCTTGGTTATGAATTTCCCGTGTTTTTGGGCATTTTTTCTGAGAGTTGAACTTTGCAATATGTATATTCTTTGGCAGTGAATAGATTGATGATGGATTTTTCTGTGTCCACAACCGCTGTTTACAATAGAATCCAGAAACTAGAACCCGAAAATGCTACGAAGATTATTGGCTTTCTTCTTTTACAAGACCATGGCGAGCAGGACATGGCTCGGTTGGCTATGGCTCCGGAACACTTGATTCACCAAGTGATACTGACAGCCAAGGCTGAACTTCAGCAGTTGGCTACCAAATCAGTGTCATCCCCACTTTCACCTTCCTTTAACCGGACAACAGGTGCTTTCGCACCTTATTCGCCTATTTCGTCAAGGCATTTCTCATCTCCGGCAGCCTTTCAAGTCCCAACTTCATTTTGGGATCGGCAACTAATTGATAGGCACAGCTCGGATTTTATGCCATTGGGTTACCCTGACTCTATTACTGTGCTGCAAAACCAGGCTCAGTTTTTTAGTTTGGAGGATCAAATGGAATCAGTTAATTCTGAGATTTCAGGATTCTCTAACGATTACTTTTACAGGGATGCTGAAATGTGCAGCTTAAGTGCTAGAAATGGTAGAAGGATTTCAAACCTCGGTGATTTTCAAGTTAAGATATGTCACTATTTCAATAAGGGCTTTTGTAAGCATGGAAGTAGCTGTAGGTATTACCATGGACAATTGATTTCTGATAGCTTCTATGGAAATGATGGCCTTAATGATGATCATGTTTTGTCACCGGGGTCTCGTGAGAAGTTGGAGTGGGAAATCACCGAGCTTCTTCGATCAAGAAGAGGGATTCCTATTTCAATTGCTTCTCTGCCAATGATGTATTATGAGAGATATGGAAAATCTCTTCAGGCAGAAGGCTACCTAACTGAAAGCCAGAGACATGGCAAGGCTGGTTACAGTTTGACAAAGCTTCTCGCTCGACTTGGAAACAGTATTCGGCTGATTGACAGGTGCAAAATTTAGCCCCTTTTCAGTGTTTTGTGATTGATTGACTGATAGTCTTTCAGATATCGGTACATAACCAGTGCCTTTGTGTTACTTACAGGCCTCATGGGCAGCATGCTGTAATTTTGTCGGAAGACTCTGCAAAATACATGGAAAATCGGAATGAGAAAGGTGATCCTGGTCCTATTGTTAGCGGTTCGCGACAAATTTATCTAACGTTTCCATCCGAGAGCACTTTCAGTGAAGATGAAGTCTCAAACTACTTCAAGTTAGTCTAATTTTCTGATTGCTCTTTGAAACAAGGATTTCACGCTTCTTTAGGTATATATTTTCAGGGTTTAATAGTTTTCTCATTTTGCTGGTTTTCTTTGCAGCACTTTTGGTCCTGTTGAAGATGTAAGAATTCCATGCCAACAGAAAAGGATGTTCGGGTTTGTAACCTTTGTCCATGCCGATACTGCGAAAACAATTTTGGTAAAGGGAAATCCGCATTATGTTTGTGGGGCTCGTGTTCTCGTGAAGCCTTACAGGGAAAAATCAAAGCTTGTTGATAGGTAAATTTTCCTATTGTTATGTTTAGATTTGTACATCCTAAGTCAAACTTCTCAAAGTAATCAGTGGAAACTGTAATATGAAAACCTCCATGAGATTTTGTACAACTGAAATTGTGATAAGATTTTTCACTGCATATATATCCAACAGTTCGTAGAATTCTTCAATACAGTTGGTAAAGCTGTCTTTAATTCTCTGCTTGTGAAATAGCATGCATTAGTGCAAATACTTTTCTTGCCTCTAAGATCTTTGCTTCAGTTAAAATGATGCTGGAAGGCCTTTTTCCCTCTTCCATATTAATGACCCTCTTTTTCAATCTCACATGTCTTTGCTTTGTGCAGAAAGTACCAAGAGAGAATGGAACCTACAGCATATTATTCTCCGCACTATACAGACATGGAATCCGAGTTTTATTCGAGTGAGTAGCACCTGAAATTTCTCAAATCGTTAAAACAATATAGGTTTATGTTTATACCGACCTTAGACATGGTGGCAATAAAATCTTTTAGATTATTTTGCGATATTTGGTTATTTTCTTTTATTTTATTTTATTCTTTTATCAAATTAATTGCGTATTTTGTTCAATTGGTGACTGGGTGCTTATCTTTGCTAATGCACAAATTGTTTTAGTGTCAAGAAGCTGTGATAACTCTAGATTGTTAAGGAAGAAGCTTTTGGAGGAACAAGAATATGCACTTGAAATAGAGAGGAGGCTGGCAGAGCTGCGTTTTGTGCAAAAGCCTGTGGCCAGTCAGCCGCAATCTAGTTACTTCATGGATGGGCTAAAAGTATCAGAAGGTTTGTAATTCATTTCAACTCTTTAAGTTGTCTGCAAGCCATTTTTCTTCTTTTACGATTTTAATTTAGTACTCCATGTTTTTCTTTCTTCTTGGTATATTTCTTATTGTTGTAGTGCATGCAGATAATTTCAACTTCCCGTCTGCAGAATGTTTCAATAATCTGTTGTATGCTCTAAACAGTGGGTCTACAAGTGATGATAAACCCAAGCACACAGAAACCAATTACACTGACCATGATAGGTATATCATGTATGAGTTAATTTTCTTCTTCCGATGGAAGGTTTTAAATCTTCACATTGTTCTATTTGTCATCTGTCAATGATTGTTCCTGTTTGTATTTGTTTTCTGACAAGGGGGTGTCGTTGCTTCATTTTCCCTTTCATTGTGGCAGTCAAGGACTTAATCTCCCGGATAGCCCGTTTGCAACACGATAGCTAGTGGCATTTCAACACTCATATAGTTTCAGCAACGCAAAGATTATAGAGTTAGGTAACAGTTCAAATGCAACATATTTGGTTTGACAACATAACCTTCTTTCGTTTTCTTTGGCTTCATCAACTTTTTGGCAAAGTTTCCTGCAAGTACATACTGCCTACAGAAGAAACATTAGATGACATTCCTCCCTATCACGCACGGGTTGACGGACATAGTAAAGAAGAATTCGTGGATACGTAGAAGTATATGCAAGAAAGATTTACAGTTTCTTAGTGTTAAGTCACAGAAATAAGGCATGAAAGTGTCTGATGTAATATTTTAGTCTTTTAGTTGAACAAAGGATCTTAAGAATATTTCACGGTTTCAGAAGGTTTTAAATTTATTAAAATCTGTGTCACATTAAGCAAAGATGAAATTGCCTTGAACTATATGTTAGGTAGAAAATATACCAATTCTATAATTTCAATCAAAGTGGGTAGTTATATTTATTAATTAATTATTTTATTGCTACTGAAATGATTTATTTTTATTATTTTTTATTCTCTCATTGAGTTTGAAGCTCCTCATTTATAATTGCTGCATAGAACAAAACAAAGAGAGGAAGTGTGCTTTTAATTTCAATTAATTTCCATGAATTCAAGGTTTGCATATATTTTTAATTCTTCTGTATTTTAGGCGAAGATTGCATTGTCCTTTAACAAATTATACTTTTACTTGAATGTGTTAATTGGGAAGATGAAACTACAGTATCTTACCACATGACATTGCTTAGTTTGGAGAGAGCACGGTCTTTGAGACTTCCACACCTTCGGATCATCAACACTTTTTTTCAAGATAAATGTTCTTCTAATGTCGAGAAAAATGGAGTATTGGTTTATGTATTTTTGTCCAATTAGAGTTTTATCTCAAAATTAAAAATTTGTGGAATATTGTTTTTTGAATTTGTCACAACGCAAAGTAATAATTCTTTTAATATATATGTGATCATAATTTTCTTGTTATTTGTGATTAGTGTGCGTTTTATAATACATGATAAAAAAATCTCTGTTGATGTGTTTTATGGTTTCAACACAGTTACACGGCCAATGGAAGGATCAAATCATAGGCCTTGTCGGGATAATGTTAGAGAGATTAATTATTTAAGCTAAATTTTATAAACTATATAAGTGGGGTTGTTGATAATTGGATTATTATATAAGTATTGATTAGTATACTTATTTTTTATTAGTGATATATCACTTGGTTTACAAATTTGGTTTAAAAAATTGATCTACTTAACATTACTTCTTCGCAAAACGAATAATGCTAGGAAACCAAAATTTTAAATCAAATGATGTGTCACCAATAGAAAATATGCACATTAATTGACGTTTAATTAATAATTCAATCATCAACAATCACGTCATTTGATTTCCACAATTTGATTCAAAAAAATTAATCTCCCTAACATTAGCCTCGCAAAATTATACGTTAAAATCATTCAAATCTAATTGAACTTATTTCTTAAACTCATATCTTTGAGTGGGAGTTGTTCATAGCTAGGGTGGTGATTTTTCTGTTTTTGGTGGTTTTTGTCCACTGGTCAAGGAAATATAAGGAGCAATCTCGATGTTTGTTAAATGTAACTTATAGTAGTGTTGCAAGATCATCAATGGTTTGTGTGATGTTTTCCTCTTGGTGCTTTTCTGTTAGATTTACAATTAACTTTCAAAGTTAAGTTCTTGTGAATGTTATTTTTTCAGTTATTTGAATGTGGCTAATCCATATCCTCTGGCTTACATTTAACATGTCTACATCGTGCACGTTATTGATCGTTCTTAAAAAAAGTTTCATTTGATTTTTCCCAAAGTAATGCTTAGTGGAGTAGAACTCACCTAGACGTGGTACATTTTTCCTTTATCATTGATTTACTTGATTATCTATACACACGGTGATAAGTAAGAACGTCTTTTTTCCAAATTTCACAAGAACCAACCACCACAACATCCACAAATGAATATTGAGCAAGAATACTGCACTCTTAATGTTTTATTTTTATTTTTTTATTTCTAGTTATTAGATTGAATATATCATCGAAGACAACAAACATAATTAAATAAGAGTGATAACTAAAAAAATTCGTGTATTATTTAAATAAAAATCTCAAAATATCTATAACTAGTAATAAAAATGCTGCAAGCAGAAGATATAGAAAGGACAAACCTGCGGTGTCCTTTGTCTCATTCACTGTCTCTTCCATTCACTGCTAAATTTAGTTTTCCGAAATTGACATTCACAAAAATTATATTGAGGGTCTTCTATGATCTGAATAAGCAAACCGACCCTGGAATCGAGAACGTGCAAGCTTCTGCCCACAGACTGGATCAAATGCCCGCAAGTTTCGTTAATACAATTACGTTGGAGGAGGACTTCACAACCAAATGCCAATGCAATATGGTTGGATTATTAAAATCCTTACCACAAATTGTATTCTCGCTTCTATGATGGCTGGATGTATTTTTTGTGAGTATTGAGTTATGTGTTCTAGTCTTTAAATGATTAATCTTGTTTCTGTTGAAAAATAATAATATTTAGGTTCATTTTTATTGTTTGGGATTGGGCATTATCCCAACCAAATTAGGGTTTCTTTTGCTCTCTATAAATATGGCATGTAGTTTAGTAGGAGAACAAGTCATTCATTTCAGCAATCTTGTTAACTTGTTTTCCGTTAATAAAGTAGTCTTCACAGTTACATTTTGTTTGTTTATTTTCAACTGCTCCTTTGTGATGACTTTATGTGGTCTCGATCAATTTGTGTGTCCGTAAAACTTAACCCTAGATCAATTTCTTGGTCACTAGAACAATATGCTCAATTGACATCTCTGTATTTGTATGTGTTGACCAATAAAATACTACTCTATCTTTTTTTTTTGTAAAAAAAAAATTAAGTAAACGGTTTCAAAAAAGGGTAAAGATTATATGGAACCCAACTGTGAGATCATGAGTTGAGGTCATATAATTCTAGGGTTACAGCCAGCCAAAAGCTTGTGACGCAAGAAAGCAAACTGCTGTATGTTACTCAGTATTTAGGTTCAACACAATTATGGGACGGCAATTTAGGCTAATCAAATGAGCAGTTAGTAAAAAATCTACTACGGGCTCTATTGGAAGTGCCATTAGGTTCAACAAATCGATGGGAAGGCAATTTAGGCTAATCAAATGAGTAGTTAGTAAAAAATTACTACATGCTTGTTTGAAAGTGTTTTTTAAATAACTAAAAGGGCTTTTAGTAAAAATGTTTTGAAACCAATCATTCATAAAACTTCAACTGGATATTGACAAAATACTTTAAGTGATTCCAGCAAAAAACACATATTTGGTGCTTCTTCTTGGAATCCAAAATTAATTTCACCAAAAACACTTTCAGTCATTTTAAAAGCACTTACAAACAAGCCCTACATTTATTATAGTTAAGGTGACAATCAAGTTGTGTTCTCGGTTGTATTATTTTTATTTTTATTTTTTGAACAAACGATATTATCTACACTAAGGGGGAGGGGTGGGCTTAACCTCACAATTGGCTAACAATAATGTGGTTCGAATTCGCCTTTGGCAAGAATCGAACCTAAGACTTCTCACTTACAAGTGAAGAAGAATACTACTAGACCTTAGTACTAAGTTGCTGATTGTATCATTTTTAGATTCACATAGAATACTAGTTAATTATAATTCGACTGGTTAATTAATTAAATTAATAATATCATCACTGACTTGAAGTTGCGAACTACAATCTTGGGAAATCATCCTCCTAATGAGGCTATTATTAATAATACTGTATTTCTAAACTTATAGGGCTTGTTTGGTGATTAGAATTGGTTTGATCAAAGTATATTGAAAGTAAATGTGAACGATTTTTCATTAGGAATAGATAAGTTTTCTTGATGAGCAATCCATCTTCTACCATTAAGTTGGACAAAACAATTTCATTTATTTTTTCAGTATACCTTGAAATATATATGGTGTTTATATATCATAGACACCAAGCAATCCCGTAGTACCATACAAAGATATAAAAAGAAGTAGGGGCCTGCCTGGTTAAGTTTTAGAAAACGATTTTTGAGTAGAAAAAGACGCGACAAATAGGAATTTGCATTTTAAAATCTGAGAATGTGGAATGGTAGTTTAATTTGGTAATGGAGTTTTTTTCTATTAAAAAAAAAGAAAAAATATTAAAAACGTGTAAGGTGCCAATGTCTAAAATAGTAAAGGAAAAAAACCTAGTAAATTCGGTATTGGTAGTAATGTTTTTGTAATGTAAATTTACTGTCACAGAGAAGTACAGGATGAGTGATACAGACAACGGCCAAAGGCTATGCCGTGGATGGAGGGGCTAGTGAGGAGTGATTTTTCTAAGTACTAAGTATTCAAACGGTACTCTACATGTCATAATACAAGTGAAGAAAATGATATATATTTTTTCGTATCTCTCCACTTATTTTACGACACATGAAGAATCGACTTGAAGATCGGGCACTTTGAAAAATTCCTCGCCAGAGCACGATGACTACCGACATGGAGAATGGATTGAGCCAAATAGAATTGGGGTTTAGGGTTTGGGGTTTAAGGTTACAGGCCTTGTGACGAGAATTGTATTGTCGCAACAGTGGTTGGGGGTGGTGACAATGTTAAGGGTGGTATCTGGGCCTTACAAAGGCCCTTTGGACTGAATATCTAAAGGCCGAACAAAGTACTTAAGTAATGGGCCCTATAAAGGAGAGCACAGATAAACCAACAGTCAGCAGCAAACAATACACTGCCGCTCCAAGTTACATTTCTGCAGAAAGGCATTCATAGATCTCGGGTTTTTATATATGAAACTTGCACTGGAAAGGCAGCTTTACATTCTAAAAACGAAAACACATCAACATTCAACAAATGTTATAGCAGTCAGATCACAAAACCACACATATACTACAATATAAATAGAAACTTCGGACGTGCGTATTACAGGTAACTAAAAACAAAAAGTTTAGCAGAAGAGAAAGAAAAAAAAGGTTTACAAGCTAGCAGTGCTGGTTTCCGGGGTTTCATTGAGGATGAACAAGCAACAAAAAGTCATCATACGGATGACGGATGAAGCATAGAGTAGGTACAAAAAGTGCAAATACAAGAATGCGCCCTTGTGTTTTAAATCAATTGCACTTAGTAAAGCTTTTTGTTTGTCCACTTGAGCGTCGCGAAGATACAAATACACTACAACCTGTAATGAGTTGGTCAATCATTAGAAACTATAAAATCATATAAATCAATGTAATGAGAAAATATCTAGAGAAAGGACAGTAAATAGAACAATGTAACAGATACATCATGTTGTATTAAATCAATTGTTTACTAATGTGAAGGAATTCAGTACGGATAACCAAAGATGTTAACATTCAAGTGGCAGACCAATTATTCCTCAAACAACTATCGTTTCTTGTTCAATTAGAAATAAATTACCTTAAGTTCCTCAAAGAATAAATAGTATATATAAATATTAATCACCTTAAAAGTATAGAACTCCACGATGAGAGTGTTTTATCTTTTCCGTCACAAGCAGTTAATACTCATCCAGATGCTTTGACCTGGAGCGTAACCTTCTACACAAAACTGGAGCAGCTCCGGTATAAACAAATAATGGCACTGGAGTGCACAACGACAACCTATATACTCTATATGAGAAACAACCTAGCCACCCAAACCAAAAACTGTCAAAAACCTGGAAACCTTCTTATTCCAGATTTGTGATAAGCGGGGGCTCTCAACTTCATGGCAACTTTGTTAACAATGTCATACCTTGAAATTTACCAGCATATGAAGTTGCTAAGGGAGGATGCTTGGCTCATCAAACACGTGTCAGTAACCCACACATACTTTAATGGAGGATGTTATCCCTTTCTTTCATATTTTTTGCAAACTCCTTGAGCAGTAAGCTCTGCCGGAAAGCCAAATATTTATCTAAGCTAGTTCCAGCCCATTGTTGACAGAAGCATTCATCAGTTGGGACCAATGAACTTAGAGGAAATGGCCCCTTAGGAGCTTTCTGCAGAGAAACCAAGAACCTATGTCGAGGGCGAATTCTCTGGTCTAATGACAAGCTTAGGTACATAGGATATTTGGTCAAGGAATGCACTTCGTTATGAAGTTCATTTATCAAGTACTTGTACTTCGGTTTTAAGTTATCCTCCAGTGATAGGGATAGTACCTGCAAGGATATATGTCAGAAATCGACAAGGAACATTGGTAAAGATTCAGAAAATTAACTTGTGAAGTGGGAAGAAGCAAGAAAGCTATTTTTCTTCTTCTTCGGAACTTGACAGGTTATCAGTAAAGGAAGTCATGAATCATAGTACTCCAAAATACATAAACATAAAAGAAAAATTGTTTCTTGTCACACAAGTATGAATAAATCCCATCCAAATAGAAAGAACGCAACAATAATCCAATGGGCATAAAGGAAAGTAAGCATACCTGTGTTAGACTAGTTAAAACTTTCAAGATGTCAGAATTACACATCCCAATACTCCTAAGGAAATTGATCCTGGGCAATAGCCCATCATCAATGCTATAGTGGAGGAACTGCGGATGTTTTTTAACCATCTTCACTATACTATCTCTGGTTGCTCCTATTTCCTTAGAAAGAAATAGCAGACGAGTATTCCATGATATATCAATCCGCTGAACCAGAATTTGAGGGCTTAACTGCACAACTTTACCCAAATCCTTTTCCTTAATCCCAACCTCTTCCACTAAGTATCTCACAGTTGGTTTCAACGAGTTCTCAACACTATAGGAGAAGAGGGATGGTGTAGCAGCAATAATCTGCCCGACCCTGGAACTTGGAATACCCAGACTCATCAGGAAAGCAACATGGGACTTCAAATTGTTCTCAACTGTATATTCGAGGATCTGTGGCTGCCTCAAAATCATTCTTCTTACATCTCTCTGTTTGACACCAACACTCAACAAATATTCCAACCTTTCCTTTGCTGAGCACACATTTATTTGAAGAGAAGGCATATGCCTCTCGTACATTTGAATAAAGTGTGATTCCTTAAGCCCAAATGTGCTTAGATAATCGATAAGGGGTAACCACTTCTCATCCAATTGGACTTCTTCTGACAGTTGAGGGAATCTATCCTCCATAGCCTTCCTTGTTGCTAGCTACAATCAAATAAAACAAATCAGCACTTTCGTATGAAATGGTGTACAAATGTTCTACTATAATTGATCATAGAATTTGAAAGCTCTTCATGTCAATCCACAAGCTACCTTTCCCTTGCGAGGAACATCCACGGAAGTGGCTTCTATTTTTTTGCTTGGACTATAATTGTAGTCTTCCTTGTTACTCTTCTCTAGAGTGCGCTTGCTGTTTCTGCCATCCAAATGACCATTGGAAAACCCCTTGTGGGATTTGGGCCTCTTTCTACTAACATCAAAATCTGAAATTTCCGCAAAGTCATCCTGGGGAAGCAATCCACACAGAAAATTCAGATGATGTTCAAAAAAAACTAATCACATGTAATTATAAACAACTAATCACAACCCAAGAATCAATTTTCCAAATGTTGGGTGACGAAATGCGAAATACTTTCATGTTCAAGAACCCAAAAAGCTTGAAAGGAAAAAGAAAAAACCCACAAAACCAGTATCAACCTCAATCCAATAAGCAACCAAATGAAGGGAAAAACCAACAACTCCAAAAGAAAAAAACTTGAAACTACAAATTAACCTATACAAACAAATGGGCAGTACCCAAAAGTAAGCATAACTGAAGCAGCAGCATTCTTATTATGCTTAGAATTAATGAAAAGCAAACAAATGGGGGTGCATAATAATTTACTCACATTGAGCAACCAATCGTCGTCGGACACGTCAGTAACACGAGAGACCTGGTCGTCGTCGTCTTGGTCGTAGGGGGAGAGGGGCTGGCCATAGCGAGACCGGCGGTTGGACTTGAGAATTTTGGGGTTGGAGTGGGTGGAGAGCACCACGAAGCGGCAGCTGGAATCGGACCTCCTTTTGCAACCAGAGAGAGTGGAGAGAGTAGTAATGATGAGCTGGGACTGAGAGAAGAGTTTCAGACAAGAAGAGGAGGAGGAGGAATAGGAGGAGGGGCAGAGAGAGAAAGGTACCATTTTACTAGATAGAGGAAGAGAGACAAAGAATATACCCTAAAACCCTCTACAGTATTATCTATATTATCGTTGTCTTCTTTTTTTTTTTTTTTTTTTTTTTTTTTTGCACGTCATCATTATGCACTCTTTTTGGGCAAGAGAGGTTATAAAAATTTCACTCTGCTACTGACCATAGTTAAGCAGAATCATCGGCTCGAAGCATTGAATCCGAAACCGCTCACATCTTTTGTTTATTGTGGAACCGCATTCCGTATCTCTTGATGTGGTTATTACTTTCTTAAAGGATCAAGATCATCTCTTAAGCTAAGGGTGAGGATCCTCTTGAGCAAGTTCATCAGACTGTTCAAATTTTATCTAACGAGTACAATTATTATAACTTTTAGAAAGATTTTATTTTTGTAACCGTTGGATAAAATTTGCATGACCCGATGAACTTGCTCAGGAGGATCTTCACTCTTAACTCAGGAGAGAATCTTGATCCCTGTCAAAATATATCTTTTTTGGGTACAGAGTCTCACATACTTCAGAGACAAAAATAAATTTCTTTTTTCCTTTTTTCTTTCCAGATCAGCTCCTAACCAAACTTTTTTTCGACTCTTACACATTATTTTTATTTTTGACAATCAAACGGATAAACAATTAGTAACACAATTAAACATAGATGTGTAGAAAAATAAAAATAGTGTGTTTATCATATCTTTTTTCTTTTTTTTTTAGGTTGAAGTGTCAATTTAGTCTCTGAATTATTACCTCAGTGAAAATTAAGTCTTTGAATTATTTTTTGGTAAAATAAGTCCCTAAACTCATTAAAAATTGCTAATTTCATCCTTATTATTATATTCAAAACTATTTTATCCAATTTTTCTTCAACTTAAGACTTCATATACTATTTCTTTATGAAAATTACCAATCTACCTTATAATGTGTATCACATGCAAGTAACATGACCGAAATTGACAGAAAATTGAATATAGTAGGTTTGAATATAATATTAGGAATATAATTGGCTAATTTTTATAATTCAATGACTGATTTTTCAGAAAAAAAAAAGAAGAAAGTTTAGGGACAATTTTCACTCAGGTAATAATTCATGGACTAAATTAGCAATTCATCTTTTTTTTTTTTTTTTTTTTTTAAATTTGGTAAGACATGCCTTAACCCCGTTACCCTCCAAACACAAGGATGGGCACGTGTTGGTCGATACCCGAGGCTGACGAAGCCATTTTAACATCCATGCAAGTTATGAAGAAAGAACAGATGTAAATAAAATAAGTAAATTTAAATATAATGAAATATAAAATGCATGCAAGCCTAATATCTTTATAAAAACATGCAAATTGAGAAGGGTCCACTCATAGATAGTTTGTCACCAAAGAGTCGTTCAAGTTAGAAAGGACGGGGTCGCTGCTAACAACGCACCTCGGAACGAGACGAACAAATTGGTACCTTTCTTGACGGCTAACTCGTCATGGTTTGGCCGAAAAATGGCCTGGAAGGTTGCAGGTTCACCGAAAAACTGGTCTTTCGTCGAATTTCTGAGTAAACCTTAGGAGGCCCAACCGAGATCGGAGTTGGTCAAAACAATAGCTAGAAGGTGGCCAAAGGACCATGGATTTGAAAATTTCCAGAGTTGAACAATGACTTCCTTTGTGTTTTTCGTGTTCCTACATCACCAAAACCTCCCAAAAACTTACTAATTGTCAACCTTGATACGATCTACAGCGATATGTACCAATTTTGAGATTTATCTTCGCCGAAAATGGCAAGAATTCACCAGAGAAAAGGGTTGCACAGTAAAGGTTCTACTGTGCAAAGAAAGGGAAAGGAATGTCTGGTGAACTCGACATGCATGGGGGTTCTCGAAGTGATGCCTGGGTGGTGGTACGCTGTCGTGGATGGAGAGAAAAAGGAGAGTTCGAAGGTTGATAGGATTAAAAGCACACCACAAAGTAGCACACCACAAAGTAGCACACAAATGTCCTATTGATTTTCCTTATTAACAGGATTTGTCAATTGTAGCATATGAAAATAAGGGTATTTCCCGCAGCTTATTGTTTTATCTAACTACTTAAAATGTCACAAAAACTGGTTGCTGTCCCTACTGACCAGCCATTGAAAAATAATTATTAGACCGACTTACACTTATCTAAAGTCTACGAAATTTTATATGAACACACTAGACACACAGAGCTACACTCAAACAAATGTTTAGGATTTTTGGAGTTGATTTGCTATTTAAATTAAATCGAACAAAAACAGGACAGAAACAAATTTTAAGTAGTTCACAAATTAAGAAAAACGAGTTAGGAGAATTGCTATCCACCACCAAATAATCATGCAAACATGTTATGTTTCATTCAAATTCCTTTTATTTCAAGATGAAGATGCTCAAGTTGGCTCAATGTTAGGACTCAACCTATTACTCTTTCTTATGTAGTATGTTAAGAGAATGACGTTTTCAACTTAACTTAGTCCCTAGCATGCAATCTATAATGGCGTGTTCATAGATTTAACAAGTAGAAATCATTAAGAATGAAAAGAGTTTGAGTCATCACAAGGCATCATAAGTATTGGCATTGTCTTACTTATCCTAGAAATTGATTCAAATGTTAATCGCAATTAACAAGTACTACTTTAGAACATATGTAGGTCCTCATTCAACAAGGGCAAGCACACACATATTCATAGTGTTAGAATCCTAGATATGCTTACTAAGTATGCATCCGTAGAAAACACATAAAGAATTCATCAATGAGACAAGTGGTGAATCAATTTTCATCCATTCATAAAAGTAATTCAAACAAAATGTCATAACAAACTTGCAATCATATTCGGGGCTTCAAAACAACCCCTAACTACTAAAAATTTAGTTACACATTATTATCAAATAAAACCAAAAGAAAGACATGAGTTTGAGAAGATAAAACCGAGAGGAGACAATGCCAAGATTTCCTCATTCCTTTCCTTCCTTTCCGCAAAGCTGCCTTGTCCTTTTTTTTTTTTCCTTTCTCTTTTTTTTTTTTTATTTTCAACCTGCAACCTGCAACCTTTCCCCTTTTTAACTTGCTGCCCCATTTTCTTCTCCTTGACTCACCCACTAATAGCCATTTAGTGATGGCAATAAGTGAGAGGAAATGGTAAAACAATTGTAACTCTATGGGTAGCCTTTATGCCAATTACTCCCACTTAATCCTCATCTTTATTTCCATTTCCTCTGATATTTGAATAGGTGTCAGCTGACTTGTTCTTGGCTGCATCAGTTTTGGCGGCTAGATTTATTGGGTTTATTGCTTTCATTACAGTTACAAACTGCTCGGTCTCTTGTGAACCTTTCAGTGTTAAAACGACCATAACTTCTTCTACAAAAATGATATTAACAATCTGCGAAATGATCCAGAAAATAGACATCTGTAGCTTTCCAATCATATAAGGCTCATTCTCTAATTCATTTTGAGCTGTCCGCAACTTTCTTCCAAAGTCAGCTGATCTGCACAGGCAGTTTTGACGAATTTGTTACTAAAAATCCTACTTGTGCTATTTTTCTTTTCTTTGCTTGACAAATCCCACAAAACACAAAAACAACGTAAATAGCTCAAAAATATAAGGAACTAACTAAGAAAAGACAAGTGAATTTGATGTAAAATATATATAAATATAAGCTTATCAAAGGTGAGATGAGAGAGAGCACGGGAGAAGTGAGAAATGAGAGGGCGGGAGAGTGATGATGAAGAGGAAAGAAGAAGAAAAATAAGAAAATAAAGAGAGGGAAAGAGATCCTAGGACAGGGAAGGAACACCTAAAAAAATGGGGAATCAGACACGTGTCAGCCAAGGGAAGATCCAAAATGGAGAAATATCTTCTAATGTGAATTTACATAAATGCCCTTGACGTTCAAAAATTTGTAAAAACTTCATTTTAGCTCTGAATTCAAATCTGCTTGCGCCTACACATTCGTATCAACGAGTGCTACGTGAATAAATTAAAAGAAAAATTCCTACATTCATAAAACGACAGTCAACGCTTTCGTTGTTAGGGGTATTTTTGTAAATTTAACTAATTAAAACTTAAAATTTAAGATGGGCTGTTACAATTTACCCCATTAAGAAAATTTTGACTTAGTTATGGTTCTGCACGATAAACACATTCCTGGGCAATCATTTCGGGAGGCGCAGTTGGGAAGGAATTCTTCAGGGGGATAGAAAGGTATTATTGAAATGGAAATGTTGTTAGAGTGAGGGTTGAGATGGAGAGTGGGGGATGCAATGAGCATCTGGATTTGAGATAATCCTTGGATATCGAAGCCACCAACATTTAAGGTTACTCAAAACCATAACCTTTAGGCTAGAATGGTGATGAAGTTTGTTGATGCACAAAACCGGAGGGGTCTTGGAACAACGTAAATCCGACCGATGTTGATATTGTTTCACTCTGAATGGTGAATATACAAGAAGGCTAGAGGCAATGTGCTCTAGCCTATTTTCTCTTTTCCCTTGGTCTGAATCTTGATCTCTCCTAATGAGGAGAGTAAGGAGTCCTTTTATAGAATAAGGGCTCCTCACTTATTACATATTTGCCCCTTCCTTTATTACATAATTACTTTGAGTCCCCGAGGTTTTATACTAAATACGGGGCTTTAAGTAGTCCCCCCAAGTTTCAGTCAGAGTTTTTGGCTGGAACTTGAAATTTAGTCCATGTGTGGGCCGAAGTAACTAGATGTCGTCTAGAATTGATACTCGACATGAGGTGGTGCTCAATGTGAAATGATGCTCAACTAAGAAGTAACGATGTTGCGAGGCTGCTTTTTGTTGCAAGTCGATTATAGAGGGCTCCTCAATACAAATGATAGGCTAGAGTTGATGCTCGGAGCAGCAGGTCATAGGCGGCGATGCTCTTTAATGATGGTAAGGGGTCTTTTTATAGAATAAGGGCTTTGCTTTCTCAGTACAATAAGTGATGGGTTAAGAGTGTGATGCTCGCGGCGAGGCGGTGCAGCGGCTCAGCTTTTGCTCAAGCGGGATGTCTC